TATATATTTTTAGTAAGATTCCAAGGCGGCCCCAAAAGAAGAAGAAAACATAAATCACACTAGATCAGGGGTAACCAATTAAAAATCAGCAGGGTCCAAATAAAGAAAATCATCAACCAGTAAAGTTCCGGAGACATTTTTAATTATAATCTGTTACTTTAAATAGAAATTAACTCTGAAATAAAATTAGGTTTTTATGCATCCATGTTATACATTGACTTTTTAGATTAAAAAAAAGAAAATTTTTCCATTTAATATCTAAAGTGTTTTTTGACGTAGAGTATCTGAGGAACACAACCGCTGTCGGCTTCCGTAGTTTTTAAACGTTAACTTGAAAGAACGCCCAGACGAGAATCCCTCAGCATAATGCAGCCTCTACCTTGTTTCGCAATGATGTGTTCTTAGTACTGCGGGGTTTTTTTTACTTGAAAAAAAAAAAAAACAATAAAGCACAATAAGGAACTAGTTTGGTTTTGTCTGTTTTTTTTCTTTAGTTTTATATATAACTAATGGGTCTAAACATAAAGAAACAAACAGGTTGTCTCCTCTCCAGCCCGCTGCCTGTCAGTGGAAGCGCCCACTCTGACTGACAGCTCGCAGCCTCCGCCCAGACCAGCCGCGCCACAACCAGGCAGACTTCTTCCAGCTCCCAGCCGCCACCGGGGGCTGCAGGGATGACCGACAGTATCCCCCTACAACCCGTGAGGCGACAGAAGAGACATGACAGTAAACACCGGAGCGGGTAAGGGCGGTGGGGCCGCCCCACGGAGCCGATGTTACCGGGCGGGCGGTATTTGCTAGTCCGCTGGTGTCCGTTTCTGTGGCTGAATTTGTTTACACCCTCCCCTCTTCGACATGGTGTCCCAACCAACCCGAGGTGGTGGTATTTCCTCCTCTATTTAGTGGTTTAAAATGTCTAACGGCTTATTTTCTTTGCTTATAAACCCGTGCCGCCGCTCATTGTGGCTCCTAACGGCTAGCGCTAGCTAAGCTCCCCGGCAGACATCCTTGTTCCGGGGCTGCGGTCCTTCGGACGCCCATGTCAATATTTGCTCGGCTAACATCACTTTAGTCCCGCTGGAACACAGAACAGCAGCAAACCTGTTCTCTGTAACAGAGTCTGCAGGTTACAGGTTCACTGGACGGATGAGTTTAGCCGCAGCAGCAGCAGCTTCTGGGCCTGTTAGTGATGCTGGAGGCAGACCTGACATGATGGGTGCAGAGCAGGGCTGCCAACTCCCTGAAAAATACAAACCATAACCCTCATGTGGGCACTGGAAACAAATCTAAACCTAGATAAATAATTATTTCCTAAAAATAAGTGCATTTGTTCTTGAATTGAGGATATAAAAGAGACATTTTGCCAATGGAACAAGACAATTAACATTTAAAATAAGAAAACACAATTCCATTGTCTTATTTGAAGTGGGATGTGTTAAAGGAATAGTACACCCAAAACATGATTAGCCTTCATTTTCTACTCACCCCCATGCTGAACAACACTCTGGAGTACTTTTTTGATATC